AGTGGTTTTGGCCCCACCCCCCACGCCCCAGGGGGGCAAGGATCATGAAATTCACAATTTTTGTTCCCCTTCACCCATAGATGCTTTGTGCCAAATTTGGTTGAAATTGGTTCAGTGGTTGCAGAGAAGAAGCTGAAAATGTTCAAATGTTAACGCACAACGCACAACGCACGACGCACGACGACGGACGAAAACGGATAGCAATAGGTCACCTGAGTTTACTCAGGTGACCTAAAAAAGTAATTTTGGTATCAAACAATAAAATTTCTTGCATAATTAACCTTTCAAATCGTAACTTCAGTGATTTAAACTAGTCTAGAACTGTCGAAATGGGACAAAATACCTCCGCTGGATTTTTAGAGGTGCTAAATCATGAATATTTTATGGATCTAAGAGAAGAGAGAAATGCTAAACCATTTTTAGTGCAAATGTAATTGCATTATATTTTTTATAAATGAAACAAAGGCGCCAGCCTAAAAAGAATAGACTAAATATACAGACCAGACATGAATTGCATAAATGACCTTGGTTCAAAGTTATGACCCAACCTCAGATCATAAGCAATGTTTGTGTGAAGTAGTAGATTCAAGTTTTTCCATAATCAAGATATGTACCAAATATGAACTATACAATTTTCCTTTCAATGACCTTGAACTTGCACAGATTACCTTGGGTCAAGGTCAAGACATACCCTTAGGTCATGAGGAATCTTTGTGTGAAATGGGAACTTACCAAGTTTATCCATAAGAAAAATATGGACTGGACACGAATCATGAATTTTTTTCTACCAGTGACCTTGAACTTCCCAAAATGACCTTGGTCAAGGTCATGACACACCCTTGGGTCATGGGCAATCTTTGTGTGAAATGATAACCTACCAAGTTTATACATAAAAGATATGTATCAAACATGAATTATGAAATTTTTCTTCCAGTGACCTTGAACTTCCCCAAATGACTTTGGGTCAAGGTCATGACACACCCTTGGGTCATGGGCAATTTTTGTGTGAAATGAGAATCATTTAATTTCTATAAAATACTTGATTCTGATTGGATAAAAAATTCTTTTGATAACTGCATCAATAAAATCTAGAGTTCGCTTGCACTAAGCAGCCGGAACTACTTTGACAGTCGTTACATGTATATTCCCGCTTCCAGATTACTTTTTGAAGGAATAATTAAATACTTTTGCTTTAATAAATATTTTCCTGAATTTCGGAACCTGTCCGTTACGTTCCTGACTTACTTTCTAGTTTCTACTTTCGTTTTTTTCATTTTGAATTATCCCCCTTTGCTAAACAAATGAAATCGTCTGCATGACGACAATACAGTTACTGGAAAGAAGGGAAGAAATCGTTGAATCGGCATACTTTGCTTAAATGTTTGACTTTGAGATGTCTGGTATGAAACAACAGAACTCTGAAAAAATGTTTTATTATGCCACCAAAGCGGAGAAAACCGTAAATCTGTTAAATCATGGGAAACGAATGATCGAGGACACTGTAGGCCTATGAATATTGAACTATCGACGGCAGACTCTTTCACGTTTTACAACATTGACATGTTGTGATATACTCGTATATTCAGTTTGAAATTCAGATGAAAAGATGCGCAAATGAAATCCAAGTTTCTGTGACCTAGAACTGTTAGGATATTTGAGTAGCTTCCCTTTACATTTACGAACTTAGATAACTTACCGGAGAAAATATACCCAGAGGGATAACACAACAGGTAGGTTTTTTGTGTTAAAGAACTGTAAATTATTTCGGAGACTGTTGGTAATCACACGACAATATTTGAGAACGTTTTTCGTTAGCATGGTTAGAGCCATTTTGAATTTTCAGCAACGTTAACGTTATGGCGATGTATTCGTGCGCACTGTTTTTGATGCATAAATTTAATAGAAAAGTTAAAGAAACTTTCATTTTATCAATTTAAAATCATAATTAAATGATAAGAAATGAATGTAATATTTTTTTCTTTGATCGATGTATCAAAGAAAAATTTGAATAGAAAACTTTTATATCAATGCGCTATGCGCATTGATGAAGTTTTCCGTCCAAATTTTTCTTTGATACATCGATCAAAGAAAAAAAATATTACATTCATTTCTTAAATCTACCAAGTTTATCCATAAGAAAGATATGGACCAGAAACGAATTATGAAATTTTTCTTCCAGTGACCTTGAACTTCCCCAAATGACCTTGGCTGAAGGTCATGACACACCCTTAGATCATGAGCAATCTTAGTGTAGAGTAGTAGATTCTAATGTCCCTCTGTAAGAAAGATATGGACCGGACACGATTGCACAGACAGACGGACAGACGGACAGACAGATAGACGGACAAGGTGATTCCTATATACCCTAAACTCCGTTTGCGGGGGGTATAAAAAGAAAACTGCTCCAAAAAACTTAACCTTAACCTGGGACGCCGACGCCGAGGGTATTACAACTTCATGAGGTGAACTAAAAATTCCAGAAATCAGAGGTCCATAGGCAATAACACTCACCAGAGTATTTTGGCCTTGCTGTTCCTCACCAGATTTTGACCCTTAGAGTAATTATTGTGGCCCCACTCTTCTCTGTTTACTCTGTTTGCTTCCGATATGCCCAGAAGCAGAGAAAATTTTCAAGGAAATAATGCATTTCACCACAGACTCAATATAGTCCTACTCTTACACCAGAATCTTTGACCTTGGGTCATGAATTTCCCAATTTGGGAAATGTATCCTTATCTTCATAACTAATTACTAAGTTGAATATTTCCAAAGAATTAACAACCTTTTACTATATTATCAATAGGGTTACCCTCCAAAGAATCTCCAGAACCTCAGACCCTGGGACTACAAGTTTTAACTAGAACTGTCCAAACGGGACAAAATACCCCCCGCTGGGTTTTTCAGAAGTAAGTTTTTCCATAATAAATATATGTATCAAACACGAATTATGAAATTTTTATTCCAGTGACCTTGAACTTCCCCAAATAACCTTGGGTCAAGGTCATGACACACCCTTGGGTCATGGGCAACCTTTGTGTGATATGAGAACCTACCAAATTTATCCATAAGAAAGATATGAACCGGACACGAATTATGAAATTTTTCTACCAGTGACTTTGAACTTCTCCAAATGACCTTGGGTCAAGGTCATGACACACCCTTGGCTCATGGGCAATCTTTGTGTGAAATGAGAACCTACAAAATTTATCCATAAGAAAGATATGGACCGGACACGAATTATGATTTTTTTTCTTCCAGTGTCCTTGAACTTCCCCAAATGACCTTGGGTCAAGGTCATGACACACCCTTGGGCCATGGTCAATCTTTGTTTGAAAAAAAACCTACCAAGTTTATCCATAAGAAAGATATGGACCGGACAGGAATTATGAAAATTTTCTTCCAGTGACCTTGAACTTTCCCAAATGACCTTGCATCAAGGTCATAACACACCCTTGGGTCATGAGCAATCTTTGTGTGAAATGAGAACCTAGCAAGTTTATCCATGAAAGATATGTATCAAACCTCATTTATGAAAATTTTCTTCCAGTGACCTTGAACTTTCCCAGATGACCTTGGGTCAAGGTCATGACACACCCTTGGGTCATGGGCAATCTTTGTGTGAAATGATAACCTACCAAGTTTATCCATAAGAAAGATATGGACTGGACACGAATTATGAAATTTTTCTTCTAGTGACCTTGAACTTCCCAAAATGACCTTGGGTCAAGGTCATGACACACCCTTAGGTCATGAGCAATCTTAGTGTGGAGTAGTAGATTCTAATGTCCCTCTGTAAGAAAGATATGGACCGGACACGATTGCACAGACAGACGGACGGACGGACAGACGGACAGACTGACAGACGGACAGACAGATAGACGGACAAGGTGATTCCTATATACCCCCCCAAACTTCGTTTGCTGGGGGTATAAAAATTGTGTATGCTTCTCATAACTATGCACTTTTTTAATCTGACTAATACATGTATAGCCCAATCCTAAATCCAGGGGCCATGAAATTCACGATTGTCTTATAAAGAGACACCATTGCTCCTCAAAAATATGTACTTTAGTTTCTATAATATCCTGGAGAAGAGAAGATTTTCAAAGAATTAATGAACTTTCTTTATATGATATAAATTGCCCTACCCTAGAACCTGTGTATTATTATAATGGACTAACAATAAGTCATGAATTTTATGATTGATGCTTATGAAAACCACAACAACAGTTTACTGCTTTACCACACAAAATGCAGACAAACACCGCCACATACGACTTAACACTAACAGAGATTGACTCAACCACCTCCCTTTAAAGCTACAATTCATCCTATGAATTCACTCTGCTCTTCTGAAATCCGGTGTAGCATAATATTTTGATACAGCGATAAAGCGAACCTGGATTCAATATATCGCAAAATATTTTGAGGCCGGGTTCACTTTTTCGCTGCAATATATTAATCCCCTTATAAAATATTGAACCCCCACATTTTTCATACGAGGGAGGGGGTTCAATGTATTACGGCCTTAATATATTGAGTCTCTCTGTCCATTTAATTTTGGAGGCAGGGGGTTTAAAATATTATGGCCATAATATATCGAGTCCCCCAACTCTTTTAATTTTAGAAGGAGGGGGGTCAAAATATTATGGCAATAAAATATCGATGAGTTAATTAGGTTTTATACATCTAAATATGCATTTAAACCTAAGGTTTCTTTATTTTTTTCTATAGTTTTCCAAAACATTCTCAGCCACAACATGTGAATGAAGTTTACGAATAGAGGAAACCCATATTGAAAATGTTCATTACCATTTTAAAATTGTAGATGCAAGGGGAGGGGGGGGGGGCATTTTCATTTTTTAGCAACCTCAGAAGATAGAACAAGCTCATTTATGGCTTCTGAGGAACTCAATGGAAAATCATCAAACTAATTATCTTTTAACAAATCTGCTACCTTTTTTCTGAAGAAAAAGAAATGACTGTAATTATACATTTACCTTTATAAGTCCACGTGGAGAAGACTGATCCTTCTTGATTATTCTCCTCAGTACTGACTTTATCTTCAAACTTCTGATTAACGTTTAATACAAGTATGAAGAACACACCTTTCGTGATGTAAATCTGATGGCAAGCATAGTATGCAAATTGTCCAGCTAAATCCAGCATACTAATTGTTGGTATTTTTTCTTTGTCATCCATAATCTTTAGCAGTATCTCCCTCGGAATTGTAAATGGCTCTGTATCTGATTGAACAGAAGAGTCCGATGTTTTTTCTTGTTCTTCATCTAGTTCTCGTTCAATCTCTACAGATGTTTGTCCCTCTCCTTCTTCTCTTTGGTAAATTATTTGAATATTAGAATCGATTTTCTTGGATTTCGAACGGTCGGTCTTTACATCAGTATCAGTATTTAGGTCGGAAATACCGACCCAAAGGAATGATTTTTGTCGTCTCTCATCTGCAGATACTGTTCAATGAAAATTTGTTTTAGAAGATGGTAAATACCTCTAAGAAAAAAATGTATATAAAATTTTAACATAACTCTTAAGAGTTCATGATCATTAAGATTATTTTAACAAGGAATAACAAAAGAAAAATCAAATATGCTTTTCTTTCTTCGAGAGTTTGCGTTTTCTAAAAAAAAAAAGATCTTTCTAGTATATCAAAAATATTTTTGTGTAAAATCATTCAACCTTCTAGACATCCATTTCTGATATTAAATACATGGTGATGAACCTCTAAGCCCCTGGAAGATTCGATGTCCTCTACAACCTCTTGAGTCTCCCCCATTAAACGATTCAGCAATGTTGTTTTTCCAGCTTCAGCACAACCAACAAGAATACCTCTTGAATGCTGAACAGTTATAATTGCATTTTCCCTCAAAGACTTTTCTAGCTTTTCTATATAATGTGGTGGTATACTCTCCTCCACATTTTCTGTTAGATTATCATGTAGACCTAGCATAAAAAAATGTTTTTATAAAAAAATATCAAGACATTGTTTACTTTAGTCAGTTAACTGCATTATTTTCTCACCGCAAAAACATCATGAGCAAAAATGTGTACAAATTTATCTGCTCTACCTGAGAATGCTCCCAAATTCATCTGACAATTTCTTAAAGAAGAAATTTTTATCAAAAGATGATAATTGTCTCTATAACCCTTTTAAAATATTGTTTATTGTGTTCATCCTTATCCCTGTGGGCAAGTTTTGAGTAAAGTTTATCTTTCATTAACAGTGAATGTTTGCAATTAATCACAATGAATCATGTTTTACTGTTTCTTGAGAATAAAATTTTTAAAGATTCTTCACATCTATAACATTTAAACCTTTTATCTTTTGTTATGTATAAGATATCTTGTTCCATAATATCCAATGGCCAATGGGCCACAATGCTCATTTAATTTATCTTTGTTCAGCTGGTCTTCAGAAGACTTTCAAAGATTATTTCTGTTGAATAATCCAATGAAATATTTTTCACCATATGGGTCATGGCTTTCCCAGACTTTAATCAATAAAAAGTAGAGATTCTTAATACAAATGTGACAAACATGGCCTTTTCATTGTAAACAAGAATTTTTCTAAGTCTCCTTTACGTACATGTATTATTCAAGATTTGATTTTATATTTTTACCCAAATTAAAGATGATTCAAATAAAACTGAATCAGTACTTAGCATGCTTGCATTTTAATAACTATAGGACCATTGGCCACAACGCTGGCCATAGTCATTTTTAATCTGCTGTTCTTCATCAGTAAATCAATGATAAAATGATCTGAACTTGGCTTTCAATTAAGGGGTCCTGTCAATGAACTCCTGATCAGATTTTGTTCTATGATATCAACTTTAATCTACTGATCCCACTTGTATCTGAAGACTGAAGAAAGTTTTCCCCAAGTTTCATCTTTCAAGTACAATTCACAGTTCTTAAGAAGGAAATGCTAAACATTCTTTTTAGATGGTTACATTTGTAATATCTTAATTATCTCCCCTGCAAATGCTTCTTAATTCATCAAACTTAATTCTTTTTAAATAAAAGATGTAAAAATTTTAAAAGGTTATTTTCTTTCCTAAAGGTATAAACATTCATCACAGTTAATCTTTAGCATAACTTGTCTTTTTGATTTCAAATAGGAAAGAAAATCATTATTCTTTTAATCACCTTTAAGTTTTTCTTTAGCAGACTCTTCGTGTTCTTCTATAAAGGCATGTCTTTGAATCTTACGCAGGCCAGACATGTAGTCTTTCCTTGTGTACATTTCCAGTCTTTGGCATACATCAGATATGACTGACCAGATTTCATTAAATTCCTTTTTTGAGGTAGAAGCAGAAGTCTGGTGTGCACTATAGGTGTTTCTTATAATCCTTATCCTCTCAATGTCATCTCCAATTGTTGTTTCTCTTACTGACGGCATTGTGTTTAAACCCCATTTACCTTTTGTTGGACGAGGAATCATTACACAAATGTGTCTTATCAGTATATATAATAAGGAAATATCAAAATTTTTATAACCATTATTTGCAGCATTTTTAAGTACAAGTTCTTGTCCAGAATGTATCCTTTTGGAAAGTGAAGATGATTTTACTTTGTTGAACACATGTTTAGGACAAACTTCCATTTCTAAGACATCTCTGCAGGCCTGTGTTAACTCCTCTGCTATTGCCATTCCGAGTTTGGCAAACCTAGAACGGTCACCAAGGTCAGATCCAGAAGCCATTTCTTTGGTTGCTTACAGTCTATTTCATACTCTGAAAGGATAATTCAACATCAGTCTTATCATTTTTATAGGAAAGGAGTATGTGTATGACAGACTGGGAATCAAACTGGAGGTCCCTATATCACTTTACCAATTGAGCTTCAGTATATTCGAGCCAATATTCTCAGTCTAAACTATGATTATACTTTCATTTTCCCAATATGAAAGATATTGTAATGTTTATAATACTGGTGTGATTGAGGATGAAATACATTTTCTTTTTACTGTAATTCTTATTCTAAGCTAAGAAACACATTCTTTAGTAATATTTATAACATAACAAAGAAAAACAAGATGTGTTTGTGAAACACTGATGCCCCCGTATGGCAACATAGTGAAGGTTAAGCTTTCTCTAATGCTGATCAATTATGTTGGTATCTTAAGTAAGGCCTTTTCAGAAGAAATACACATGTGAAATAAAAAACCCTAGCACCACCTGTTCAAGGGTTATGACCAAGGTAAACATTTTTAAATGAAGGACAAGCTCTGGATCAAGGTCAAAGGGTCAACGTTGTTGGTTTCTAATGAAAGGCCTTGTCTCAAAGATTACATATGGTAAGTATGAAAGCGCTGGCCTTTACTGTGCAATAGATATGGCCAAGGGGAAAATTTGTAACAAGAGGCCCAGGGGCCACAGCTCTCACTTGAGCACATCAGCTAGGAAAAAACACATATCAGATCAGAACTGAAAGTTAATTTAAGTTGGGGGGAGGGGGGGTTGAATTTTAACCCCCAAGGGGATCATAATTTGAACGAACTAGAATCTACATTACCTGAGGATGATTCCATACAAATATTACTAATCCTGACTTTGAAGTACTTGAAAAGAAGATTTAAAAAGGTTTCCCTAATATATATTTCTATGTAAAACTTTGGTCGGCCATTTTGGCCACACCTTTATCCCGGGGTCATGACTTGAAGAAACTTGAATCTACACTACCTGAGGATAATTTCACATGAGTTTCATCTTTCTTGTTTCAATTATTCTTGAGAAGAAGATTTTTAAGGATTTTTCCTATATATTCCTATGTAAAACTTTGATCGGCCATTTTGGCCCCGCCCTACCCCCAGGGGTCATGACTTGAACAAATTTGAATCTACACTACCTGAGGATGATATCACATGAGTTTCATCTTTCTTGGCCCAGTGGTTCTTGAGAAGAAGATTTTTCCTATATATTCCTATATAAAATTTTGATCGGCCATTTTGGCCCCGCCCTACCCCCGGGAGTCATGACTTGAACAAAATTGAATCTACACTACCTGAGGATGATTCCACATGAGTTTCATCTTTCTTGTTTCAATTATTCTTGAGAAGAAGATTTTTAAAAATTTTACTTATATATTCCTATGTAAAACTTTTATCAGCCATTTTGGCCCCGCCCTACCCCCGGGGGTCATGACTTGAACAAACTTGAATCTACACTACCTGAGGATGATTCCACATGAGTTTCATCTTTCCTGGCCCAGTGGTTCTTGAGGAGAAGATTTTTTAAAAATGCCAATATTTTTTCTCTAAATCATGATTATTCCCCCTTGGAAAAGAACGTTGCCCTTCATTTGAACAAACATGAATCCCCTTCACCCAAGGCTACTTTGTGCCAAGTTTGGTTGAAATTGGCCCAGTGGTTCTTGAGGAGAAGATGAAAATGTGAAAAGTTTACGACAACGACGACAACGACGACAACGACAACAGACAACAGACAAATTTTGATCAGAATAGCTCACTTGAGCCTTCGGATCAGGTGAGCTAAAAAGAAGGTCAAACTCCAAGGTCAAGTTCAAAGTTGATGATATCAAATGAAAGGTCTTCTCACAAGGATTACATATTTGAAGTATGAAAGCCCTAGCCCTTACCGTTCAAAATTATGACCAAGGTTAAAGTTTTTTCATAAGTAAAGAGATCTCCAAGGTCAAGGTCAAAATTCTTGGTTTTAAATAAAAGATCTTGCCAAAAAGAAGTGACATTTGAAAAGTGAAATTCCGAGTAACTACCGTTTAAAAATTATAACCAAAGTATAAATTTGCAATTTTTGTGTAAAAGTGAGTCTAACTCCAAGGTCAAAAGGTCAAGGTTTTTGGTATCAAATGAGAGGTCTTGTCACAAGAATTGAATATGTAAAGTATGAAAGCCCTAGTACTAACCCTTCAATTATGGTCAAGGTTGTATTTTTAAAGTAAGTCAAACTTCAGGGTCAAGGTCAAAGGGTCAAGGTTCTTAGTATCAAATGAAGCGTCTTCTCACAAGAATTACATATGTGAAGTATGAAAGCCTTAGCACTTTTAGTTCAAAATTATAGCCAAGGTTAAAGTTTTTTTGTAAGTACAGAAATCTCTATGGTCAAGGTCAAAAGGTCAAAGTAGTTGAAATTCACTGAAAGGTCTTTTCACAAGCAATATACATGTCAAGTATAAATGTCCTGGTATCTACTGTTCAAAAGATATGGCCAAAGTAAAAGTTCAAAATTTTTGTGTAAAAGTGGGTCAAACTCCAAGGTCAAGGTCAAAAGGTCAAATTAGGTGGCACCCAAAGAAAGATCTTGTAACAAGGAATACACATGTGAAATATGAATGCCATAGCTCTACCAGATCAAAAGTTATGGGCAAGGTTAAAGTTTTTGCAGACAAACAGAGACAGGGAGACAGACAGAGAGACAGACGGCCACGACAAAAACTATATACCCCCGAAGCTTCGTTTACGGGGGCATAATAATAATTTTAGCAATGAGAAATATATGTTACAATTATATGTAAACAATAATACACAAAAAGTCTTGAAAGTTACTGTTAAATTTATCAGAGACTGTTTTGAACTTAAAAGTCAAATACTTGACAAATATTGAAAATATGTAAACATTATTTAATGATGTTCTGTGGGCCTTTGCCAATTATTGTAATTGTGTTTGTGCCAATAAAGTATTTGTATTTGTATACATTTAATATTAGAAAACATATAAAGCTAATATTAAGAGTGCCACCCCTCAATAATAGTATCTAGTGGCCCTCTCATTTACATTTGCCAAACGAGGAATTGCCTCAAGAACCTTATTTGATTTTCCAGAGAAGGTATTTTCTCCCAAAACATAGATAATAATCAGTGCATTTTCAGTGGCTGTAATTTACAGTAATGTTAAAGGTGCATGGACACATATTTGAAGTTGATATTTTCTGTAAATATCCTGACTTATATATATTTTAACACATGTTCAATAGCATTTCACACAAAAATATATTGAAAATTAAAAATTTTATTTCATAACATTTACATTTGAAAATGTTTTCCCTTATATAACACTATTTGAACAAGGCATTTTTACATCTCCGTTAAACACATATTGATTGTTTAATCATTAAAGTGATCTACGTAATTTGATATCATAAGCGATCGCCGTTAGGCCTAAAATAAAAATAGTCTTGTTTCCTGCTATCCGACCTAACCTATTTTTTTGCACCTGACCCTAAAGTTTTTTTTTTAGTTTTGGGGGAAAAAATCAGGAATTTGGGGAAATTCATGTTCCAAAACTGAAAAAAATATATATTCAAGTGGTATTTCATAAAATTCTATGTTTTAAGCATAGACTTTCAAAAAATACCACTTGAGTTGTGCATCAAAAGACATGAAAGAACAGGGTTCACTTTTGCCTTATTTAGCTTTGTGAATTTCTGGAAAAAAAACGAAACTGCTTAGTTTTAGTTAACAATGCATAGAATATATCACTTGGATCTTTGGCAATTGCGTATTCATCTATCAAAAATGACGTAATTTTCTGGCTAGTCAATGCATTATGACGTCGCAAAATGCGTCAATTGCCTCCTATTCTGAACAAGAGGCCCATGGGCCACATCGCTCACCTGAGCACCAAGGGTAGGACTAGTATAAAATGGCTTTTTATTGTAAAGTTTAAATCCAAAAGTAGTCCCATGACCAATCATGAATTTGCTATTTTTTAGAAAATGATTGAGAAGAAGATTTTTAAAGAATCTTCCTATATATTTTTATGTAAAACTTTGGTCGGCCATTTTGGCCCCGCCCTACCCCCGGGGGTCATGATTTGAACAAAATTGAATCTACACTACCTGAGCATGCTTCCATATATATATGATGAATTATGGCTTTGTCATTCTTGAGAAGAAGAATTTTAAAGAATTTTCCTATATATTTCTATGTAAAACTTTGGTCGGCCATTTTGGCCCCGCTCTACCCCTGGGGGTCATGATTTGAACAAACTTGAATCTACACTACCTGAACATGCTTCCATATAAATATGATGAATTATGGCTTTGTCATTCTTGAGAAGAAGATTTTTAAAGAATTTTCTTATATATTTCTATGTAAAACTTTGGTCGGCCATTTTGGCCCCGCCCTACCCCAGGGGGTCACGATTTGAACAAACTTGAATCTACACAACCTGAGCATGTTTCCATATCATTATGATGAATTATGGCTTTGTCATTCTTGAGAAGAAGATTTTTAAAGAATTTTCCTATATATTTCTATGTAAAACTATGGTCGACCTTTGTGGCCCCCCCCCCTACCCCCGGGGGTCATGATTTGAACAAACTTGAATCTAAACTACCTGAGCATGTTTCCATATAAATATGATGAATTATGGCTTTGTCATTCTTGAGAAGAAGATTTTTAAAGAATTTTCCTATATATTTCTATGTAAAACTTTGGTCGGCCTTTTTGGCCCCGCCCTCCCCCCGGGGGTCACGATTTGAACAAACTTGAATCTACACTACCTGAGCATGTTTCCATATAAATATGATGAATTATGGCTTTGTCATTCTTGAGAAGAAGATTTTTAAAGAATTTTCCTATATATTTCTATGTAAAACTTTGGTCGGCCATTTTGGCCCCGCCCTACCCCCGGGGGTCATGATTTGAACAAACTTGAATCTACACTATCTGAGCATGCTTCCATATAAATATGATGAATTAAGGCTTTGTCATTCTTGAGAAGAAGATTTTTAAAGAATTTTCCTATA